CATTTGCATTTTCCATGGCTCCAGTCATGCCTGGAAGACAACGAATGATTAGGAAATGAGAACTGCTTAAAGGTAAGCTTGAGCATTTCTTTAAGAAAACTTGATCAAATGACATAGAAATGAATGAGACTTGGGCAAATAAGTATGACTTTAATCTTTCACTTCACAATAACATCCTATCATCTATCTCTTTGGAACTGCAAATTATTATTGACCCAAAAAAATTGGATGACATGTATATGTGGTAGTACCAATTACATTTGTATTATTTTTGTATAATTTTTCAGTGCCACACATAATTTACTCACGGTGTTAGGAAATATTATGTAATCCCAATTTTCTATAATTTGTATACTTCTATCTTGTAGGAGCTTCAAGTTCACACACTTTGGTCAGAATTGATGTGATATATCATACGACTTTTGCATGTTTTTCACATATTTGTTTAATTAGTTTCACAGGATATCCTTCAATATCCTGATGAATCATCTTTTAAAATTAAAAATATACACAAAATTAAAAGTAGAACTACTAAAACTCAGTTTCCTGAGGAGGAAAACAAAAATGACTAAATTTCTCACTTTCACACCTGTAAGCAGCCTGTGATCTCAGTACACCAGGCTTCAAGCTACCACAGATGCTGCTCAGGGGCACCGACCACCTCGTGTTACCGTAACCTGTCTTCCTGAATACAGGGACGTTTTCTTAGCTTATAAACCTCTAAACAGTTAACATTTATACCAGACATGTACTCACATAGTGTGTCTGAATTTGTTTAAATATGTTCACTAGAAAAAGTTAATAATTTTACGGGTGAATTAAAGGAACATAAAGAAATTGGTCTTACGTGCAGGTTTTCACACTTTACCGGTAATCACACATTCTTAAATGTAGGAGAAAGATTAATTTATTGACCAATTTGATTATTCAGTAACAGAATAATCAGACTTAACTGATTATTGTTTAATTAGGTAATCAATTAAGACTTGCCCAAATTACTTTGTTGCACTACATTAGTATGAGGTACAACATCAACTAAAAATATAACATGGGGCATTTCAGTTACTTCCAGGGATTAATTCATTTTTCACATAAGCCTTTAGCTTCCATTTATCTTACCTGAAAGTATCTATGGTAGTAGAAATGGATTTAAATGCAAATGAGTGTTTTCTTATACTTATGTGACTTTTGTCTTTTCTTTACAAATCAGACTTTCAACAAGATGAATGGATTTGTTATATCCAAGAAGATTACATTTGGGCATTATTCATAATCTATCATGTAGCAAATCTTTTTTTATTTTCTCTGTAAGTTTATGGATAAGCACTGAAAATTATGTGAGTGTATATAAATACGGTTTTTTAGCAAATATTTGCATTGATTTTAGTACATATTTTATACCACCAATGTTCACTATATAATTAAAAGATTTATATGGTATGTTCATCAAAAGAGTTAAGTTAAAATAATGAACATATCATATTATGCTCTATTACTTCAATGATATATATATGTATCTAGCTTAGTAATTGTTAATTACTACTCCATTTTGCTCTATTGTATGTAGATAGCATAGTGTACTTATGAATATTTAGGTGCTTTTAAATTTCTATTATTATAGTCCATGGCCATGTGCATGTGATGAGAGTTTCTCTAGTAAGAAATCTGAAAGTAGCATTCTTTGTCTTTTGGATAGCTGAATTTCTAACTTTTTTATTCCCATCAAATGTTGATTTTTATTTCAATTCCTCCATGTGTGGAACTGTTAGGTATTTTAGGTGCAATAATCATGGCCAATCGTAGAAGAGTGAAAATTAATTTTGTTTTAAATTACAAGTTCCTTAATGACACTGAGCAGAAACTCTTTAATCTATTCACTAATCTCTTATATTACTTCTCTAAATTCACCGTGAACATTTCTTGTCCATATTTTCTATTGAATTGTTTGAATTTTCCTTATAGATATGAATAATTCATTTTTTTATTTATGTACTCTGTTCTAACTTATCATTTATAATGACAGTAATATCTTCCTCAGCCTATTTACAATACTTAAAAATGTTGTTACATTATTTAGAACCAAAGATTACACGGAACATTACATGTATTTTGGATACTTATATGTTATTATTCATTTAATGTTAATAAGCAAGATTACACTGATAGATTTTCTCATGCTAAATCATGTGAATATTATTGGAATGAAACTCCCAGTTATTGATATGTAAATTGTTTGAATCTATGATCATAGTAAGTTTGGTATTACTTTTTTTGTGGTTAAAATGGTGAAGTCATTTTTATTTAAATACTCGAAAAAATACCCCATAAAATTCAAAATATTTACCGTTATACAAAAATAGGTTTCTACAAGTGATATTATCTGTCTTCATCACCAGTAGCAAATATTAGGCACAATCGTGTAACCTCAGTAGCCTTATAGGAAAAGTACAGGACACCTCAAGCTACAGATTCTGCAGTATCATAATGTGCAAAATTTAATCTTTTCCCCCATTTGCTAAATATGCAAGGTTTATAACTTAATCATGTAATTTAGCATTCCATATTATACATGTAATTTAATCACTACTGTGTATGCATACATACACAATGCTTATATGTGCAAATTCCAGTTTGTTTTCATGTGCTGGCAAGGGACTTGTATACAACATAAGCTGTGTGCGTATTGAGCCCAATGAATATCCACAATAAAAAAGCACAAAATAACCATTGATTTACAAAAGGGAATTTATTTAATATCACTTCAATTCGTGGTGTTTCAAATTATGAGAAGTTTAGTAGTACTTCTGAAGTATTTTTGCATCTATGGATATCAAATATATTAACCCTACAAAATGTATTGTTTAGAGTTCATCTTCTTAGTACATGGTGTGGATAGATAGGCCTCTGTCTTTATGGACTTACTGAATCACAGATAATGAAATATAAAATTTCTCCAGTAAGCCAGCCCAGAGTCAGGACATAGGGAGGATAGAGACATGAATTACAGACAACTTAAATAACATAAAGACAAAATTCAAAAGTCGGGTCTATGCTCACTTAGAAAATATTTATGAGATTTGGGCAGGTTACCACTACCTTTGTTGAATCAATCTTCTTGTTTCTAGACTCAAGAAATTTGTATTTTGCTGGACTGTCTTTCAGCACGTGCTTTATTTTCTTTCTTTGGGTTCACTTTGTGCTCTCCATTTTAGTCAAAAACTATCAACTAATGTTCATAATTAAGACCAACTTATCAACATATTTTTCATAGGATGAGTTACTTTAAGTATGATTTTGAAAGTCCTATGTGGATTTACAATTAAAGAAGAAATTATTTTAAACTAACAGCATTTTAAAATCATCGTTGTGATAACATCAGACTTTCAATTCAGTCAGTCCTATATTTCCAAATAGAAATCCATGTGAAATATCTATATATTTCACGTTTAACCAGTAGGAAATCTATAGTCCAGAAAGTTACACAACTCATATAATAGTGCACATTTTACAACTTAGGAACTGATAGCAGTGTTTTTCTTCCTGATCCTTAACTCAATAGAATTTTTGTCTTTAATCTTATCAGATAGAAGTAAAGAATTAAGGAGTAGGCTTCTTGAGCTTGAATATCTATGTCCCTAACTAGTACTTGGATGAATTTAGGCAATTTAAAAAGAAATTTCTTTAGATATCAGCTTCATTATCTGCAAAATTTAATGAAATATACTATCTGTCTCTTTCAGTATCACTCGTTGATTACAATAGAAAATACATATAAGTGCATGCTAAAATGTATAGAAAAAAACAATAGCTCTACAAAGATTAGCCTTAATACTTTGTTTACTATTATTAATATTAGCCATAAATAGATATTTCCCACCAAAACATTTTAGAAGTCAAATTAATATTTATTTGAGAACTAACACATAATAAAAATCTACTTAATTTATTAACCTATAGATAGTTAAGTGCCATAATATTTATAGTATCTCTTTGGGTTGGACTCTGCACTCCATCTACCATTTATGAATTTTTGTGAACACAGAGCAGAAACACATGACCCATGGTAAATTTAATCATTCTAAGCATATAAGTTCTTTGATTAATAATTTGAATCATTTTCTTATGTTTTAAATATAAAATATAAGAATTTTAATATGTCATGGAATTTATCATACATCTAATAATTTATTTCTTTCTTAAAAATGTTAAAGCACTAGGATAAAATAATGAAATCTTGAGACTGGCCTTATAGTGAAGTGGTTAAGTCTGGTGCATTCCACTTTGCTGGCCCAGGTACGCAGGTTCGGATTCCGGGTGCCAACCTACACCACACATCAAGCCACGCTGTGATGGTGACCCACATACAAAATAGGGGAAGATATTAGCTTAGGGCTAATCTTTCTCAAGCAAAAAAAGAGGAACATTGGCAACAGATGTTAGCTCAAAGCAAATCTTCCTCACCAAAAAGGAAAAAAAAAAACTTTCTATGTGGTATTTCATGTCAAAAAGTCTGCTCTTCTCAAGTGAATTTAATTGTACGTAATTTCCCAGGTGCAAAGTGCAAGACAGATTTTCAAGTCAAGACTATATCTAGTTGTCACTGTTGTTGCTCTAAACATTAAAAACAGTGTAAAATCACTTCTCAGTTATTTTCTAGCTGTATAAAATCTGTGAGTACAAAGAACTCAAAGTTCTTTTACATCGATTGTCTTATTTCTATCTCCATTTCAGTGTGGGTTTTATTTTTTTATGTTTTTATTTTTGTGAGGAGGACTAGCCCTGCGCTAATATCCGATGCCAATCCTTCCCCCCTTTTTTCTTGAGGAAGATTGGACATGGGCTAACATCCATGCCCATCCTCCTCTACTTTATATGGGACACCGCCACAGCATGACTTAGCAAGCGGCGCATCAGTGCACACCCAGGATCCGAACCTGCGAACCCAGGGCCAACGCAGCGGAGCACGCGCACATAAGTGCTGCGCCACCGGGCGGGCCACTCAGTGTGGGTTTTGTAATTAGCAAAGCTTCACCCTGAGCAACTGTATGCTCTATGTTACATAATTTGCTGACTGATATTTTATCCTGGCCCTCATATGGCAATTTTCTTCAATTGGAAACTAAATTTTAAACCTAATGACCCTGATTCCACATTTGCATGCTATAGATGTGGCAACTCAGACATAACAAAGATGATAACAATTATAGAAAATATTATCCCGAGCACTATGCTGACTTCTTGATATGCACAAGTCTCATCAAATGTCACAATACATAAATAAAATAGAGACTGATTTTTTTTAGAATTACACATGAAGTAGATTAGAGTTAGATTAATTACTTTTTTCCTGAAGAATAAAGGAGAAAAACCAGGTATCAAACAAAGAACCAAGTTAGACTCCCATGCTAATTTTACATCTCTCAGTTTTTTAAATTCAGCTTTTATCTTGATCATTAGAAGATAGACACATTGAATAATCAAACAAAATAAAATATAACAATGGGCTAGTTATAGGTTGGACTAGATAATTATCATTTATGTAATTGATAAATTAATTCAAATAAGGGGAATTATTTGTCATATTTACGCTGAATGGACGCAATTCCTATGCTCAGTTTTGCTAGCATATAAATCACGTAAAAGGAAGTATGGAGTAAATATTTTTAAAACATATTTATGAATACATCAAAAAAAACGTATAGTTATAGGAATGTTGATTTAACCAAGGGAACACAGGAACTCCTGTCATCTTGTAGTAAAAGTTTCCTAAAGAGCCTTTTCAGAAGATTCCAGGTCATCCAAAATTCAAGCAGAGTACATTAAAGGGGTTAAGTGTGGAGTCTCAGGACTCAGACAGAGCTCTTTCTATGTTGTATTCCAGCAGTTGCAAGTTCTGTGAGGTCAGGCACGTTTCTTATCCTATGGGTCTTAAGTTTTTCTTTTAAAAATAAGTACATAGTGACATTACATGATTGTTGTAAAAATAAAGATAGTGTTCTAAGATTGCTTACTTGACTACAGGAAATTAGTAACTTCTCAAAAATAGTAGCCACTATTGCTTTCATGTGCTCAAAAACTGGCACTTTTCCTAGAGGAAAGTAAATGGAGGATGTAATTGATGGAATTAAATGTATCTGTCTGACTTGGGGCTGGAACATGAACCAAATCTCAAGTCTTCTGAAAAGCTCATCCAGATACTGTGCATAAATACAATTTGATAAAGATAAATTTTTGTAATATAAGCACACAAAATGTATAGTAAGAGTTAAGGAAACCCACATATTAAACAAAATAATA